TATATATATCATATATATATATCAGATATAAATTATAAAAATTATTTGTTCTAATCAATCTAATAGCAATCAAATCTGAGCATAATATTTTTTGTAAACAACACGACTTAGCATATCAATTTTGTACTAATCATTATGATTTGATATTAATCCAAGATATTTTTCTTATGGAATCATTTCAATTTCAGATAGTGAACACCAAGGAGGAATGTTTCAGCAAGAATTATTCCTGGCAGAATAGTAAAATTACTTTCGATCATGTTGGCATCGCTTACTTAGCTTTGTTTCAAGTGGCTACTTTCGAGGGTTGGATGGAGGTAATGGAGGACGCTGTAGATGCGAGAGGAGTAGATTTGCAACCGCAAAGAGAGGCAAATCTGTACGCCTATCTCTACTTCGTTATATTCATCGTATGTGGTTCATTTTTCACACTCAATCTTTTTATTGGAGTGATCATAGACAATTTCAACATGCTGAAGAAAAAGGTAAATAGTATAATTATACCATATGAATAAATGTAAATTTGATGAAATCCATAGTGAAATCATAATTTTAAAAATATTTTACATATTTTGTTGAGCGTGGGAGATATGTTTGTTTCAATTTCACGTACAAAACAAGAGTAATTATTTGTGCGCTGTATAATCGCGAAATAAAGTAAAGAAAAATGTAAAGTAAAGAAAAATATTTGTTAATAGATATTTTTCTTTACTCTCTTTATATCAAATTCTTTACTTTATTTCGAGATTATACGATGCACAAATAGTTAACTTGGCAAAATGTTCATGTTATTATGCATACAAAGATTATTTAATATTTTTGAAGAAGCATATTTTTATAATTATTTAACAGTTCATTTTAATAGTTGCTAAAAACATTTAAATTTATTATTAAATATTAAAAAATAATAACTATTCACAATTTGTTATTAAATATTAATGGCTGTTCATATCAGTTATTTCTTGTTATAAATAGCAAAGTATGTTTTTTTTTAATGGATTCTCATAAAATTTATATGATTGTAGAATAATAAAACGATATTTTTTTTCAGTATGAAGGTGGGGTGTTAGAAATGTTTTTGACGGAAAGTCAAAAACACTACTACACTGCCATGAAAAAACTCGGCCGTAAAAAGCCACAAAAAGTTATAAAACGTCCGATGAACCAATTCCTCGCAATGTTCTACGACCTGTCCAATTCTCGCAGGTAATTGCATAATATAACACTTTGGCAAAGAAAAGCACATTGACACTTTGAGCAAAGAATTGTGTTGCTTATGTCAATGATTGTACAAATTGATGTCATTAATAATACTTTGGCAATCAATTTTATTCTTTACTGTAATCTCGCGACAGTTAAAAATGTTAGTTTTTTCTATAAGGAACAATATTATATTTAAACCATAACTTAATTATATTTTAGTCAAAAAATAATTTTCTCTTAAATATAAAGCTAAATAAAATTTTTTTTATTTATATTACATTTGTGTAACAAACTTATAATTTTTGTACTATTTCTGTACTATTATATCATTTTCTTCATCTATTGCAAGTCATTTATTGCAATTATTATAACTCTATTAATTATTTTTTTTCTTTAAAATCTTGTAATAAAAATTTTTTTAATCAAGTAAAAATTTTTATAAATTTATTATTGCAATGAAATAATTTTTTTCAATTCTATATAATTGTATATATAATTCATTGCTTATTTTTCTTAGAATTTTTATATAATTTTTTTTTCCGAATTTTTGTAATTCTCTAATTTTACAATTTTTTCGAAAACTTTCTCAGATCTTTTATATAAATTGGAATATTTCTCAAAAATGCTGAAAAAAATGTACATCTTTTTTAGTATTTTTATTTATATAAATTTTTATGAATTTTGAAGTATTCTGAAATTTTTAAGATTTTTCATTCATAATTTTTGAGAAAAATTCATAAAATCTGAAGAAATTTATGGTTTACAAAAATTATTACAAAATTATTATATTTTTACAAAAATTTTCATAAATATGAAAAATTCTTAAAAATATGAAATAAGAACTTTTCCCACAAAAATATTGTTTAACGTCTTGCATGTTAAGTTTTTTCCACAAATCTAACTCGATCGAGACAACTAATTGATGCCAAAGCTTTATTCTAGTTTCACTCAACACATGTGTGTGTTATTCGTTGCAATATAACGTAATGAATGCGTAGAAATGGTGTGGTCAAAATGACGTAAATGGTACGTGCGAATTTGATGTGGCGGTCGTACTGTGCTGCACGCGTTCGATCGCAATGCAGCGCGAGCAATGCGGCAGGTGTATATTTCCTCTGTAATCACAGACATTTTAAATTAAATCATTAACAAGTTTACGCTCTCGCTTTTGATATTTTAATTAATATTTGATGTTAATTAGTAGATACTCCACTCTTGAAATTAACTTTGCCAAGTATATTAAATTCCTTTACAGTAATTCGCAACGTGTTAATGGTTTAAGCATAAATGTCTGTGACCCAAATTGTTCTTTAATAGAGTCATTACAAAGCTACGATTGCCCACCTCCTCATTACTCACGTTGCTGTGCTTGAATGTGTGTTTCACAGAATTCCTATTTATTTATTTTATTAAAATTTACGATCAGAATTATATCAGGTCATAGACAGGTCATAGACAGGTTTGACAGATTGCTTTTATATTATCATTTACCAGCAATTAACAGCGCACAAATAAAGGAAGATCGACAAAGGAAAATACGTACTGTAATTTCACATAACTATGGTCTATCCTGTGCTACAACTCTAATCCAAACATCCGCATGCACGAAAACCGATATTCATATTTTCGTGTGCGCGGGTGTTTAGATCATCTTGTGGCATAGGACCATAGTTGCTTGAAATTACGGTGAAATTACATCACAGCAATCTTCTACAGTGGAAGCGATCTATAAAACTATTATTATTTTCATCTTCAACTTACTTATTTATCAACGATAAGAAGACAACTTTAGATCGCAAAAAATAAGGTAAGAAGAAATATATTTTACTGTATTTTGAAACAGTCTTTAATTTAATCGTCCTATTTTTTTCTTCAAAAGCTCTTTACATAATTTTCTTATTAATTATAAAACTTTCATAATATTAATTTGTTGAGAGCTTTACTTTACACAAATCAGATTATTTTTATATTAATATGTAAAAATATAAAAATGTTATCTTTAAATAGTGACTCATATAAACTTTTCAAACTTACTGGATTAATATCATAAAGCAGAAAACTAAATTTTTTTCTGTATTTTCAGTTGCTAAATTTTATGTCAATTCAATAGATAATTTGTATACATTTTTTTTGTGCGATAATATTTTCTTTTCTCAAGCATTGTAATATGTATACAAATCACCGTGAAATATAGTGCGTATTTTCTTTTCAGCTTTCAGAAAAGGCAAAACCGCGGAAAATAAGTGCTGTGACTCTACAATTCGTTTCTCAGAGTAATGGAAAATCGATACTCAAAGGACATTAATGCTCGCCATCTCTAAATTGTAGATACACAATGTCGGTGTGCAGTGTACATAATAAACGAGATAAGCTGCAAGCAGGGAGCTTACGTAAACGTCGTAACTTCATAATTCTGCACACAGGGATTAGATACTCCTTCTCGTAAAATCCATACAAATGTAAAATTAGCTGTATATAATAGCAGAATATAGAATTATTATGACGGTGTCAATGCGTGAATTACGAAAAATTTATATACTTTTATCAAGCTACTGTTATAAACATACATATAGCAGAGATACATTTTTATCACAATTAAGATATACTTAAAATTATTTATATCATTGTATAATTTTCTCATTTTTGTGAGAGAGATCGTTTTATTTCAACTATTTAAAGAAAGCGAATGAACGGTAAAATTAAATATTATATTTGTCCCACGTACTACCAGCAGATATTATTTACGTCATTTTTACCGCACAAATATTAAATTTGTATGCATCACTTTGACAAGAAGAAGACGATTAATTTGAGTACTTTGAAATTATAAAAGAGAATATGATCTCTATTCTGAAAAAGAAACTAGATAATATATGAAAAATTAGAGAAATACTACAGTATAAGTTACATATACTATGGTTACATATACTATTTCCCTAGTTTTTCATTTTAAGAAATAGGGGCTCTGATCTCTTGTATGATTTTTCAGATTTGAAATAGCTATCTTCGTTTTGATATTTCTCAACATGCTGACGATGGGGATCGAGCATTACAATCAGCCTCATCCCATCTTTTTTGTCCTCGAAGTGTCGAACGCGTTTTTCACGACCGTTTTCGGCTTGGAGGCGATCGTCAAAATAATAGGTCTGCGTTATCATTATTTCACGGTGCCGTGGAATCTGTTTGACTTCTTACTTGTATTGGCGTCCATCCTGGGTATTCTAATGGAAGATATTATGATGGATTTCCCTGTGTCCCCGACGCTCTTGCGAGTCGTGAGGGTGTTCAGAATCGGCAGAATCTTGAGGCTCATTAAAGCTGCGAAAGGTATCCGCAAGCTACTCTTCGCTCTTGTCGTCAGTCTTCCAGCACTTTTCAACATTGGGGCCCTGTTGGCCCTAATCACATTTATCTACGCCATCATCGGCATGTCTGTTTTCGGGCACGTCAGGAAACAAGGCGCATTGGACGATATGGTTAGTGTGTGGATAGTTATATTATAAACGCCGGTTTTTTACAGACTTAAAATTATAGATTGCCTACGATCAGTTCAAAATTGAATCTTACATACACCTTTTATGTCCTTTAATTTTCAATTAGTGTTATTAATAATTAGTGTTTAATTATTGTTATTAAAGCTAGTATCTTCCATTGTAGGTGAATTTCGAAACGTTTGGTAGAAGTATGCAGCTACTGTTCCGTTTAATGACTTCGGCTGGCTGGAATGATGTGTTGGAGTCGTTGATGGTGCAACCACCTGAATGCGATCCTACACCGAACAGTCGACAGATGAACGGAGATTGCGGATATCCCTTGCTAGCTATCACATACTTCACATCGTTTATCATCATTAGTTACATGATAGTCATCAATATGTACATCGCCATCATCTTAGAGAATTTCAATCAAGCTCATCAAGAGGAGGAGATTGGTATCGTCGAAGATGACTTAGAGATGTTCTACATCCGATGGTCGAAGTAAGATACTATTTTCTTTCAAAATTATTTAGCCATGTGTTTTTAGAAATATTGATTTAATTAGTAAAATAATTGCGGTCTCTATATATCTTCTAATAGATAATTAAAATAATAATGTGGCGGCAATCTCATCATCATTTTAAATAGAAATTTTTGTTTTTCTAGGTACGATCCACATGCAACACAATTTATTAGCTTCTCGCAGTTGAGCGACTTTATAGCAAGCCTGGACCCGCCGCTGGGAATATCAAAGCCCAACGTGGTAGCGTTGGTTAGCTTTAATCTTCCCATCGCAAAGGGTAACAAGATTCATTGTCTGGACATCTTGCATGCGCTCGTCAAGCACGTTCTTGGGCACGTCGAGGAATCAGATGACTTCAGGAAGCTGCAAGAACAGATGGATGTTAAGTTCAAAAAGCAGTTTCCAACTAGAAAAGAATTGGAGATAGTGTCTTCCACGAGAATCTGGAAGCGACAAGACAAAGCTGCCAGGTTGATTCAACGTTCCATAAGAGAGTACATTGCGTGAGTATGACTAATTGAATTACAAATGATAGAGGACTTTTCGATTCAATTTAGTCCGTTCTATCTGCGTACGAAATGTTTGATGATTATTCTGAGACATCCTGTGTACGTAATTAGCGTACATAAGAAATAATAAATATAGCAACTAAATAATCTCGATGTATGTACAGGATGAAGAAGGAGCGTGAAAGAATCGCTCAGGAGGTGGACTCGCAGACGCAGACCTCGAGCCCAGGTGGTGTGGATGGTAGGAGCGGAAGTGGATGGGGCGGTAAGCTGTCAGCTCTGCTACATGTGCACCGGGGTAGCCGGGCCAGTAGCCGCAAGTCCTCCAGGGCCAGCGACGCCAGCGACCTCAGCGAACTCGGCACCGCTTCGGCGTGGTTATTCCCGAATCTTCCTCTGCTGTTGCTCTCCGGCGCCACCGGAACCCACGAGGACCTGCCACCCCCGGCACTGACCGTGTCCCGTCCCTCACCAACCGCTGATCAACCCTCCGCAACCTCCAGCTCTGGCTCGGATTCTCATATTACTATCAGGTTGGTTTAATTTCGCACAACAAGATAAGATAATTATTCGGATTGACGAACAGCGCGCTGATGACCTTGATCATGATATATATTGTCAAAGTCATGACAAAAGTTTTAGGTCACTATTTATTCAAACGTTACTAACAAGTAAAGTTTACAAAATAATATCTTATTTCTGCTATATATTGATTACGTTTACACTGTGCGCTTAGTTCGCGACTTATATGACAGCTATCGGTCGCGGACTAAGCGCAAGGTAAACGTAGCCATTGACGGGCATATGTATTTGTTTGCTAAAGCAAAATTTGATAAAGCAGCTATAATAGCCAACATTACATCATGCTTTTCAACAAAAAAAAGATTATAAAGGCTATACAAAAACATCCTAATAATCTGAATAGAGATAATGGCTGCAACATAAGTAAAATATAGAAGATCATTTTTCCGATCGAAGATTGATCGACACTCTTGCTCACACTTCTCTTTCCTTCACTCTTCTTCCCCTATCACAAAAAAAAAACAACCAGCGCATATAAAGGGAATTTCCCGGAAGAGCAACTCAGTTATCGATATTAGGTTGCTCCTCATCCTAATAAAACGAACTGTTCACGAAACATTGATATTTTAAGAGTAGATTTGAACACGGAGATATTTGATATAATTTCTATATAGAAAGTGTCCATGGAAATCATGGAAGAGTATTATTGTTTTATTTATCATTGCTTTTTACAAGTTGTAAGCACATACGCAAAAATTTTCTTTGCAAAATACATTCAACTATATCTTTATAATTATTCGTCTCACATGATATTCTTCATATCTCGTAAAAAACTTGTTCAAGACAAATTGAGTTCGTAGAAAATAAATAACTCAAGTACATCTTGCAAATGTCATGTATCGAAAAACAATATTATTATGTATAAGAAGTGAGAACATTAACAACTGCTTGTTCTCTTTAGATCGTTGGGTCCCACGCTGGGCCGGCAGGACGCAGTGGAGAAGTATCCGGAGGACGACGTACTCAGTCCACCAACTTCGAAGCGCAGCTCCCTGCGGCCGAGCGGTACTACTCTCTCGTTGAATACGCTGCAACGGGATATCAAGGAAGCGTTTAACCGACGATGTAGTAGTCTGAGGCGACGGACACCACCGCCAGAACCAGTGCAACTACCAGTCGAGAGTAGTGACGTGAGTATCCTGGTGACGGAACCCAGTCCGGAGAACACGGCACCGCCCTCGAGGCCACCGCTGATTAGGCAGCAGTCGGAGGCAACGGTGGTGCACGTTCTAGTGCACAGGGAAAGCGAGGAATATCAAGACACATCAGATGATAGCTGATCTTAACCGACAAGCGGATAGCGACAGCGACACGATTCAGTGATAATATGATAAATAATATATACGTAGACATATATTATATACATATATGTAGACTTTTCACACAGTGCAGATCTAATTTTAGATAGGGCGATAATCCGCATGGCTTCTTCGGGGCGAATCTCCTCGAGTCGGAGAGCGTGTTACGTTGTGTGTGTGTATGTGTGTGTGTGTGTGTGTGTGTGTGTGTGTGTGTGTGTGCGTGTGTGTGTGTGTGTGTGTGTGTATGCGCGCGCATGTGAATGTGTGGTCGAAATATCCGATAAGACATTAGTGTGATTTTCGGCTGATTTTAGAAAAGAAATTAAGCCTTGACTGTGGATCCTTGTTAATTTGATAACTGCTTATTCAGATAATTATTCTTTTAGGAACGCAATATTATCATTTTGTTGAATCTATGATGTGATCTCGATTAGAAATGTGATTAGAATTATTACATCATAATTATTATGAAGATGCTTCCTAATAGTCGTTAGGTATTACTCATCCATATTATTTATTGGTATTAGATATTATATTACAAGAAATTAATTTCATGCTCCGATACAATCTTATTGTAATAATATTTAAACGAGAAATGACAGATATAACATTTTATTTCTGATAAAAATGAAATGTAGTATTTTAAAGAATGCCTAAAAAAATAACTTGTAACGATTCGTTGTACAATTTTTTGTTTTATTATCAGAAGAAAGTAGGTTGAGAGCCATTATTAAGAGACAAAGAAAGGGACAAGGACGAAGTTAAAAAAATTTTTCGATTGCAAATGCAGATGGAATGTCGTTGGAGAAACTTGGATCGTTTATCATGTTGACAATTTACTTTTGACAAAAATGCAAGCACCATTAATATTATCCATAACGACAAAGGGATTACTTAAAGATAAATTACCAGCGTAGCGAAAGTACTAGATGTAGCCGTTTTCGAAACAGGAACGTAATTTGTTAGAATACATCATTTGTTAGAATACTTCTCAAAGTGAATCGAAGTGGAAATGTAATTATGGTTCTTTATCGACTTCAGTTATTGCTTTGGACAATGAGACATATTACTATTATATCAATAAGAAAAATTGATTCGCAATATTAGGCGTCAGTGTATTTAAATAACGAACAATTTATTACATTATCAATTTTCCTACATAAAGAAATCCATATTGATGAATCATTATAAATAAGAGCAATTTAAAGCTTTCTAAAAACATGTTAAGATATGCATCTTACAGTTAAAATATGTATAAACTTTAACTGCATGTTTCCAACGTTTTTTGATTGTATATAATCAGTATTGAATGTAAGACACAAATACGTATAATATTAGTAGTTTTGCCGAGCAAAGAAAAGTATTGCATTAATTGTGATGAATGAGAAGAATTATTATGAATACATTAAGCTGAACAATTCATGATTAATGCCAGTTTAACGAGTGCATTCGAATTTACTGCATATTCGCTAATTGTTTTAAAATAAACTCAAACCGTCAACACGGTATAAACTTTTTTCCCAAGCTAAGCGACTATTTCTAGTAAATTACGCTACCCTGGTAAGAGCATGTTTTGAATTTTATAATTATTATCGTTTGCATCTTCGATGGATTAAAAATTTATTAATTTAACTATAAACATACACACATATATATATATATATATATATATATATATACATAGTTATTAATATTTAGCTATTTATAATTTAGCTATTTAATCTCAGAGTTGGGTATCTATACATAAACAGGCAGAATGTAAATTGTCACTTTTTACAATCCAATTAAAGAATCGTTGCTCTTTATCATTTATTTGTTCAGATTACTTGCTGGAAAGTAATTTGGGAAGGTAATTCTGTATGTAAATGCCCAACACTGAATACTTCAAATTGAGAATTTTGGAAACACTGAAATTTTTCAAATACGCTAAAATATCAAATCGAGATTTTTATAGATAATTGGAATACTTAATAATAATATTTTAGATTGTAATTATCAGAAACAATTGTAAAACTTCCAATTACCATAAGCTACAAAATCGATTGCAATGACTTGCTTATTATTTGGAAATAGTGTTTTAGTGCTATGCTATTGTATATCATTAAATTTTCAGACATTGCCGGATAGCTTTTAATACTGATTTAACGTGGCTTCAATAATCGAGAGAGCGATATTTGCACTCGCGTGCACATAGAGATATTTCTCGATTAGCGTCTATAACGGAACCTTTTTACTATAACTCTACATTTATACGTCGTGATCCTTGTCTTTTACGTCGTAATTAAGGGTGATCGGACCAAATCTAGGCACATTCGACTCTGTTGTATGGTTTTCTCTTTAAAGAAGAAAAAAGAGGAAAACCTAGATTGTTAGCACATAGATAATGTAGATCGCCCGGAATTTGCTACAAAGAACAAATTTTATCGATATACAAAAAGAGTACTGCCTCAAATCTTAGAATAAATTAATCGCGTCACTAACAGCGAGCAAGATCGAAAAAAAGAAAGATGGACGAATGAAACTAATAGATGGAAACAATGTGGCTTCCTTCAGTGATTATTATCGTAACTAAAGAACTCTTCTGTTTCTTTTCCCATAATATGAATTAATAACGACAAGATCAATTGACGAAAAGCAATACATCAGCGTTGTAACTACTAAATTAATTTTTACTTAAAAACGTTCTTTGCTTAACACGTTCCGATTTGTAAACTATTAAAGACGAAGATCTTCTTTGTCTTCAACATAATTGGAATTATATTTAAAAAATTTTGTTTAACTTATGCGCTCTGTATAAGTAATTCATAACCAATTCTTTTTTTTAATTTTGACTAATTTTTCCAACATATACATTATTATGCGTATTCATTACACATATTCTGTTTGCATTTGCGATATCGTATTGCCAGAGTTGTTCAATTCATTAAGTATTTTCGGTGTATTCATAGATTATTAAAAACTAACATTCATGCACCCTCGTTATTTGGCGGCGCTTTTTTTCTTTTGATTCTGTTAATTAAGTGTACATTCTCTCAGTGTTAATTCTCGGCCTTGTTAACGAAAATATGTTGTTTATTTACATAAAAACGAATCATTTTTCAATGTTTTAATCTTTTTGAGTCTGACAAGGATTTTCTTCTAAAAACTGTTTCAATTTTTTGTCTTCAATTTTTTGTTGTTGTCTAAGGCATGAATAAACGTAGTTATAAGTGGTTGTAGTTGCAAAAATTGACCAATCACAGTAGAATATTCTCATGTGATTGTCTGTTCTAAACTATGATTGTCAATTCTAGAACGGTCCTTATCTATCAAGGTATACGCATAAATTTCTTTCCCGAGTTTACCTCCTCCATAAACATTAATGTTTTATTAAAAAAAAAACATCCTCAATAAAGATAATCAAACAATTATTTTTGTTGTGCCAATATTTTTTTCAAATTTTTCAATATTTTTATATGGTTTATTATTATGATTTCCTCGTTTCTTTCATATACCTACTCGTATTTCTGCAAGAATAAATCTAATTTCAATAAATTAAATTAATGAAGTGAACTTTGACCTTATAATTTCGCTTTTCGGCAGGAAGAAAATGGCAAATCGTAAAATACCACTCTTGAAAACATTATCATTATCATTATCTCTTTACTGACATGTAAAACAGAGTCTATTCTTTTTCGTTATTATGTAAAAAAAAATACTCTTTTTCGAAGGAAAAAAACACATGAGGCTTTCGCTACATTTCATTAGAGATCTCATGGACGAAAATGGGGAGAGGGAATGGGAGAAGATGTACATTTGAATTTCCATAAACAACGAATTATTTTAAGGGGGTCACGCCGTATTTTTGTCCTAAGTAGATTATGTTTCGAATTGTGTTATGAACTTTCCGGGAAATTTCATGTCATTTCGGGGAACATTATCTTAGTATTCCTGATGAAATAGAAAGAAAAAGAGAATTTTCTTGAAAAAACGAAAAACTTTATTGAAAAACTTTATCTATTCAATTTTATGATAAAAATTGAAAAAACTACCTGAAATTTTTTTTCGACGTAATAAATAATTTTGTATACTGTAAAAAAATTTTAGTCATGAAGACTTTCAAAGAATACATGTTAAATTGAGGCACAAAAAATACTTTAAGTTTTGATATTTAATAATATATTTTAAGAAGAAAAAAGTCATTTTAATTTGGCATCGGAATAGTTTGAGACTTCACAATTTAAATAATACATTTAAATACATTTAAATAATACATTTAACAATATATTTTTTAGAGAGCTATAGCTGCAAATGTTTACCCAATATTATGTAAACGCAAATAAACGGAATAGAAAAAAGATTTCATTTGTCGTCCGATGGAAGAATCAATTGAAAGTTAAAAAATTAAATCAAATATAATAAACAAAAGAGCATATAAATGCCAAAGCAAGATCTGAGTATTACACAAGCGAGAAATGACATATTTCTTGGCATATTTGTAAATAAACAAAATTTAGATAAAATAAAATAATAAGATCGCTTTAAAACACTTGTAAAAATGAGTAGCTGAAGCTATCCTTATCCCCCCTAACAGTCAATAAATAGTCAATAAAGTCGTAAAAAGCAAGTGAAGTGAAAATAAGCATGTGCATTGAGTAAACGTACTTCACTTACTTTTTACAACTATTTACTAATTAATCGGAGAAGAGAAGGGGGAGAGGAAGGGAGGATAAGAATAATTTCTACCCTTTTTAAAAAAAAATGTTTTAAAGCAATCTCATCATTTTGTTTTATTTAAATTCTCTTTATTTACAAATGGCATGCAAGGAACTTCAACGTATTATTTCTCACTTATGACGTCATGATTCAATATGGCCGCAAAAATATTAGAAGCTTTAATTAGACCTTTCTTTGGTTTTCACACTTCTTTAGTTACAATATTTGATTTTATCTGTAAGCCTATTTTTCATTTATCATTTAAAAAGTTATAAGGGTTATTT